CTGTGGTCACTGATAACAGTTGTTGTGAGATTAGACTGTCTAACACTGTTTTCTCATGAAGCTGTAACTTGTCTGTGGTCACTGATAACAGTTGGTGTGAGATTAGACTGTCTAACACTGTTTTCTCATGAAGCTGTAACTTGTCTGTGGTCCCTGTGGAATTGCATCAGCAAAGATCTTGAAACCTGGCTGCATCATAGACTGGAGTACCAAACTGAATGCTCACATTGTCATGAAGCAGGTCTTGTGTAGATTAAGGAATCTCCATATCTGACTATTTCTCCAGCCTCATACATGTTCATTTCTAGGCTGACTTCAATGTCCTATGACATAACATGTCATCAAATTATTTCATTTCTAAGCCATGGTAGTATCTGTATGTTAGGCCTTGGTAGTATCTATATGTTAGGCAATGGTAGTATCTATATGTTAAGCTATGGTTGTAGCTATACATTAAGCCATGGTAGTATCTATACGCTAAGCCATGGTAGTATCTATTCATTAGGCCATGGTAGTATCTATACATTAAGCCATGGTAGTATCTATACATTAAGCTATTGTAGTATCTATACATTAAGCCATAGTAGTATCTATACATTAAGCCATGGTAGTATCTATACGCTAAGCCATAGTAGTATCTATACATTAGGCCATAGTAGTATCTATACATTAGGCTATGGTAGTATATATACATTAGGCTATGGTAGTATCTATACATTAAGCCATGGTAGTATCTATTCATTAAGCCATGGTAGTATCTATACATTAGGCCATGGTAGTATCTATTCATTAAGCCATGGTAGTATCTATTCATTAAGCCATAGTAGTATCTATACATTAAGCCATGGTAGTATCTATACATTAGGCCATAGTAGTATCTATACATTAAGCCATGGCAGTATCTATACGCTAAGCCATAGTAGTATCTATACATTAGGCCATAGTAGTATCTATACATTAGGCTATGGTAGTATATATACATTAGGCTATGGTAGTATCTATACATTAAGCCATGGTAGTATCTATTCATTAAGCCATGGTAGTATCTATACATTAGGCCATGGTAGTATCTATTCATTAAGCCATGGTAGTATCTATTCATTAAGCCATAGTAGTATCTATACATTAAGCCATGGTAGTATCTATACTTTAAGCCATAGTAGTATCTATACATTAAGCCATGGTAGTATCTATTCATTAAGCCATAGTAGTATCTATACATTAAGCCATGGTAGTATCTATACATTAGGCCATGGTAGTATCTATACATTAGGCCATGGTAGTATCTATTCATTAGGCCATGGTAGTTTCTATACATTAGGCCATGGTAGTATCTATTCATTAAGCCATGGTAGTATCTATACATTAAGCCATGGTAGTATCTATTCATTAAGCCATGGTAGTATCTATTCATTAGGCCATGGTAGTATCTATTCATTAAGCCATGGTAGTATCTATTCATTAGGCCATGGTAGTATCTATACCGTAAGCCATGGTAGTATCTATTCATTAAGCCATGGTAGTATCTATACATTAGGCCATGGTAGTATCTATACATTAAGCCATGGTAGTATCTATACTTTAAGCCATAGTAGTATCTATACATTAAGCCATGGTAGTATCTATACATTAGGCTATGGTAGTATCTATATATTAGGCTATGGTAGTATCTATATATTAGGCTATGGTAGTATCTATATATTAGGCTATGGTAGTATCTATATATTAAGCCATGGTAGTATCTATATATTGGGCTATGGTAGTATCTATATATTAGGCTATGGTAGTATCTATATATTAGGCTATGGTAGTATCTATATATTAGGCTATGGTAGTATCTATACATTAGGCTATTGTAGTATCTATATATTAAGCCATGGTAGTATCTATATATTAGGCTATGGTAGTATCTATATATTAGGCTATGGTAGTATCTATATATTAAGCCATGGTAGTATCTATATATTAGGCCATGGTAGTATCTATACATTAAGCCATGGTAGTATCTATATATTAAGCCATGGTAGTATCTATATATTAGGCTATGGTAGTATCTATATATTAGGCTATGGTAGTATCTATATATTAGGCTATGGTAGTATCTATACATTAGGCTATGGTAGTATCTATATATTAGGCTATGGTAGTATCTATATATTAGGCTATGGTAGTATCTATATATTAGGCTATGGTAGTATCTATACATTAAGCCATGGTAGTATCTATACATTAGGCTATGGTAGTATCTATACATTAGGCTATGGTAGTATCTATACATTAGGCTATAGTAGTATCTATACATTAGGCTATGGTAGTATCTATACATTAGGCTATGGTAGTATCTATACATTAGGCTATGGTAGTATCTATACATTAGGCTATGGTAGTATCTATACATTAGGCTATGGTAGTATCTATACATTAGGCTATGGTAGTATCTATACATTAGGCTATGGTATTATCTATACATTAGGCTATGGTAGTATCTATACATTAGGCTATGGTAGTATCTATACATTAGGCTATGGTAGTATCTATACATTAGGCTATGGTAGTATCTATATATTAGGCTATGGTAGTATCTATATATTAGGCTATGGTAGTATCTATATATTAGGCTATTGTAGTATCTATATATTAGGCTATGGTAGTATCTATACATTAGGCTATGGTAGTATCTATATATTAGGCTATGGTAGTATCTATACATTAGGCTATGGTAGTATCTATACATTAGGCTATGGTAGTATCTATACATTAGGCTATGGTAGTATCTATACATTAGGCTATGGTAGTATCTATACATTAGGCTATGGTAGTATCTATACATTAGGCTATGGTAGAATCTATACATTAGGCTATGGTAGTATCTATACATTAGGCTATGGTAGTATCTATACATTAGGCTATGGTAGTATCTATACATTAGGCTATGGTAGTATCTATACATTAGGCTATGGTAGTATCTATACATTAGGCTATGGTAGTATCTATACATTAGGCTATGGTAGTATCTATACATTAGGCTATGGTAGTATCTATACATTAGGCTATGGTAGTATCTATACGCTAAGCCATGTCCCTTCAAGGTTCAGATCTGATAAAATATCAGTAGTTCTATTTTTCTGGAATCACAGTATTCTAATGTTCCAGTTCCAGGTCAAACAGCAAATGTACATGCTATGTCAATGATTCCTTGGCAGTTGTTGAACTGATACAAAATAAGCTGCAGTTGTTGAACTGATACAAAATATGCTGCAGTTGTTGAACTGATACAAAATACGCTGCAGTTGTTGAACTGATACAAAATACGCTGCAGTTGTTGAACTGATACAAAATACGCTACAGTTGTTGAACTGATACAAAATAAGCTGCAGTTGTTGAACTGATACAAAATATGCTGCAGTTGTTGAAATGATACAAAATATGCTGCAGTTGTTGATTTGATACAAAATATGCTGCAGTTGTTGAACTGATACAAAATATGCTGCAGTTGTTGAACTGATACAAAATACGCTGCAGTTGTTGAACTGATACAAAATACGCTGCAGTTGTTGAACTGATACAAAATACGCTGCAGTTGTTGAACTGATACAAAATATGCTGCAGTTGTTGAACTGATACAAAATACGCTGCAGTTGTTGAACTGATACAAAATATGCTGCAGTTGTTGAACTGATACAAAATATGCTGCAGTTGTTGAACTGATACAAAATAAGCTGCAGTTGTTGAACTGATACAAAATATGCTGCAGTTGTTGAACTGATACAAAATATGCTGCAGTTGTTGAACTGATACAAAATACGCTGCAGTTGTTGAACTGATACAAAATACGCTGCAGTTGATGACTTTTCTAGCAATTATTCCCAAACAATTAGACAAGCAACCGGTAATAGAATATTGACAGAATGTAAATCTCTTATGTTGATTTGGAAGAAAAGATAAAAAACAGCACAGTAACCATACAAGAATTAGATTATAGTATTAAGAAAGCTGGATATGGGAAAATGAGGGAACAAAATAAATAACTTCTCTTTACTGTTAAGAACTGAATGGGGCATTCCTCGTGTGGGTTCTGTGGTCTCATGTGGGTCCTGTGGTCTCATGTGGGTTCTGGGGTCTCATGTGGGTTCTGAGGCCCAGAGTGGGTTCTGGGGCTTCATGTGGGGAACAAAAGAATAGACCTACTGCCCCAGAAAGAATGTCATCAGAGTCAGCTAGTTAGTGATGTTTCCTTTGAAGTCAGAGTCTATCTGTAACGAAGAACCAACAGTCTGCATAAACATAAGCTATATCTGTAAAATGAATGTACACAAATGTGCATGCAAAACTGGAGTTCTGCAACAAGACTAAAGTCCAGGAGTGGGTAAACAACTAGAACTTTCTGCCAGAGTTGACAGTCAATGTGGCAACAAAAGAAGAAGAAGAAGAAGAATAAATAACAACAAGGCATGACAGCAAAACTCTTACAATGACAGTGACCAATGTATCTAGCAGAGATTGACCTGTAATATTCTATGCTAATTATTGCCAGGGGGAACGAACGAACGAATGATCAAACTTTATTTTCAAAGGGTTACAAATTGGGCATGCAGGCCTGTCTGACATTCGGCCCTTTCTAAGCACTCATTTTTCAGAGTACCAATGCCTGTTATCAATAATGCATGTTATGGATATAATGAAGAAATATAAATTATAGAATAATACATATACAAATTATTTGTACAAAATCCTACGCACTCACACACACGTCTACATACTCCTACATTCTCATACATGCACACTCATATACAGACATACGTAATACATACACACATGCATCTACATACATACACAAACATAAAACACATACACAGGGAGAGAGATGTAGGCTCACAGACCAGTGTCACTGTGCCAAACCTGTAACTTTCTGTGTTCACATTGCCAGGTGGAGAGAGGTGTAGGCTCACAGACCAGTGTCACTGTGCCAAACCTGTAACTTTCTATCTTCATATTGCCAGGTGGAGAGGGGTGTAGGCTTACAGACCAGTGTCACAGTGCCAGACCTGCAGCCTCACACTCAGTATGAGGTCCGGCTTCAAGCCTGTCTGCGGAACGTGCTTAACGGATGTGGTACCAGCAGTGGGGTTCTGGTCACCACAGATGAGGACATACCGCTTGGTTTGATGCCACCCACACTGACCGCTGTGGCTTCAGATGCTGTCCACATTGCCTGGAAACCACCCACACAAGCCAATGGTGTGATCACAAGGTACAGAATCTACCAGCAGCAGCAAGATATTGCCAACTCAGAGATTCTGATCAATCAGGTCACAGGAAGTGTGCTAGAATTCTTGCACTCGGGCCAGGATCTCAGGCCATTTCAGGTTTATGAATATAGGGTAAGTCTTGTCTATTGTAGATAGATACACACCTGCCTCTTTACACCTGTCTGGAGAGAAAGATGTCTGGTGTTCTTCTCTGACTGTCACATATCGGACACTTTTTTATAGGTGTGACAGAGGTATAGTTGTTGTTTTTGTTAGCAGGGCCACACTTTCATTAACATGCAAATACTTATTACCGAGTTTCTAATTCTCAAGAATGTTTATTTAAGTCCTCATCATACATGCAAATTAGTCTCACTTCCACACAAAGTTATCAGCTACTGATTAGCCACCCGTTTATCCTTTTAGCTTACATGCACTCGAATACCATGTAGTCATTAGCTAAGTATATCAACAGTATCTGGTGTGGTTATTCACAAAGCACAGTAGCAGTATGAACAAAGTTATGTGAGATTCACGGATGCTTCTGGAATAATAGTCAAAACATTATCCTGACTACCCCCAGGCAACTTTAGAATTCCAGCTTGCAATAAGTCATGCTGCTCTGACTGGTGTTGCAATAAGTCATGTTGCTCTGACTGGTGTTGCAATAAGTCATGTTGCACTGTCTAGTGTTGCAATAAGTCATGTTGCACTGACTGGTGTTGCAATGAGTCATGTTGCACTGACTGGTGTTGCAATGAGTCATATTGCACTGACTGGTGTTGCAATAAGTCATGTTGCACTGACTGGTGTTGCAATAAGTCATGTTGCACTGACTGGTGTTGCAATGAGTCATATTGCACTGACTGGTGTTGCAATAAGTCATGTTGCACTGACTTGTGTTGCAATAAGTCATGTTGCACTGACTGGTGTTGCAATGAGTCATATTGCACTGACTGGTGTTGCAATAAGTCATGTTGCACTGACTTGTGTTGCAATGAGTCATGTTGCACTGACTGGTGTTGCAATGAGTCATATTGCACTGACTGGTGTTGCAATAAGTCATGTTGCACTGACTTGTGTTGCAATAAGTCATGTTGCACTGACTGGTGTTGCAATGAGTCATATTGCACTGACTGGTGTTGCAATAAGTCATGTTGCACTGACTGGTGTTGCAATAAGTCATGTTGCACTGACTGGTGTTGCAATAAGTCATGTTGCACTGACTGGTGTTGCAATGAGTCATGTTGCACTGACTGGTGTTGCAATAAGTCATGTTGCACTGACTGGTGTTGCAATAAGTCATGTTGCACTGACTTGTGTTGCAATAAGTCATGTTGCACTGACTGGTGTTGCAATGAGTCATATTGCACTGACTGGTGTTGCAATAAAGTCATGTTGCACTGACTTGTGTTGCAATGAGTCATGTTGCACTGACTGGTGTTGCAATGAGTCATATTGCACTGACTGGTGTTGCAACTGACTGGTGTTGCAATAAGTCATGTTGCACTGACTTGTGTTGCAATAAGTCATGTTGCACTGACTGGTGTTGCAATGAGTCATATTGCACTGACTGGTGTTGCAATAAGTCATGTTGCACTGACTTGTGTTGCAATAAGTCATGTTGCACTGACTGGTGTTGCAATGAGTCATATTGCACTGACTGGTGTTGCAATAAGTCATGTTGCACTGACTGGTGTTGCAATAAGTCATGTTGCACTGACTGGTGTTGCAATAAGTCATGTTGCACTGACTGGTGTTGCAATGAGTCATGTTGCACTGACTGGTGTTGCAATAAGTCATGTTGCACTGACTGGTGTTGCAATAAGTCATGTTGCACTGACTTGTGTTGCAATAAGTCATGTTGCACTGACTGGTGTTGCAATGAGTCATATTGCACTGACTGGTGTTGCAATAAGTCATGTTGCACTGACTGGTGTTGCAGTGAATCGTTGTCTAGGAGATGATGTGTGTAGTGAATGCTCTTTGCACACATTCTACGATGACATAACTGGGACAAGCCGACACCGACTTGGCAGTACGATACATCAGTTTATTGACATCTTATCACTTACATCAATGTCCAGTCGTTGTCCTAAGAAACAGCTTTCACACACCGAATTACTCAGACTCCAACATGCTGGTACCTCACGCAGTCACTGACCAGAGTTCACAAGATGTTTGTGGTTCTTCTCCTCGACTTCATACAGACTGGCCTGGCTGGTCTTGGCTTCAAATGGATGACGTCGTCTGTTTTTCCTCTCATAGCAATCAGTCTCACGTTGTCATTCTCTCGATCACTCTCCCATCCTTTCACCCTGACAGTCAACACATATTAACTTGATCAGACTAGGGTCTGAATCAATACCCCGAGTTAGTTTCAAGTGGCAACATGTGGTTGTCTTTTACTTCCACGTGGCGACCTGTGGTCGCTATCATCGGGTTCCACGTGATAACTCATAGTCATCACCTATCTTGAAAACCTCGGTTAATCTGAGCATCTGACTTCTCTCGGTATTCTGGTTAACCTTGGGATTTCCCCCTAACCTTCCTAATCAGGGTGAAAATATCCCTCATTACACAGCTACACAAAAGGAATACTTGTCACAAGTATGAACAACTACCACTGTCCTCCTCACAGCTTTAGATTGAGTCCATGCCAAGCGAAAACATTTCTAACATTTGCAGGAGACCAAACTGACACGTTCGTCTACTACGGTGTATTGTTCTACCCATTTGTCAATTCCTCTTGTAAACTCCTCTCACCCGTAACACTGTTACCCTAAAACCCCTACCTATCTTGTCTACACACAATCCGTCTAACCAGTAATTGCCCTGTCTGCTGTCATGAGTCAAAGTCTAGCTGTTGTCTTTCTCTCACAGTGTGTGCTAAACTTGACCCATGACACACATGATAAGTTAACGAGAGAAAGATGTCTTGAGTTCTTCTCTAATTGTCACATAATAAGTTAATAAGAGAAAGATGGCTGGTGTTTTTCTCCTGATTGTCAGTGATGGGTTATTGAGATAAATGTCCGGTATTCCTCTCCTGATTGTCAGTGATAAGTTAATGAGAGAAAGATGTCTAGTGTTCCTCTCGTACTGTCACTTGACAGTTAATGAGAGAAAGATGTCTGGGGATCTTCTCTGATTGTCTGTGATGAGTTAATGAGAGAAAGATGTCTAGTGTTTTATAAGTTAATGAGAGAAAGATGTCCAGTGTTTTATAAGTTAATGAGAGAAAGATGTCTAGTCTTTAATGAGTTAATGAGAGAAAGATGTCCAGTGTTTTATGAGTTAATGAGAGAAAGATGTCTAGTGTTTTATGAGTTAATGAGAGAAAGATGTCTAGTGTTTAATGAGTTAATGAGAGAAAGATGTCCAGTGTTTTATGAGTTAATGAGAGAAAGATGTCTAGTGTTTTATAAGTTAATGAGAGAAAGATGTCAAGTGTTTAATGAGTTAATGAGAGAAAGATGTCCAGTGTTTTATGAGTTAATGAGAGAAAGATGTCTAGTGTTTTATGAGTTAATGAGAGAAAGATGTCTAGTGTTTAATGAGAGAAAGATGTCCAGTGTTTTATGAGTTAATGAGAGAAAGATGTCCAGTGTTTTATGAGTTAATGAGAGAAAGATTTCCTGTTTTTCAATAATTTTCAGTGATGAGTTAATGAAGCAAACATGTCTTGCATTCATCTATAATTGTCAGTTATGAGTTGATGAGACAAAGATGCATGGTGGTTTTCACTTTGTTGTACTGTTTCATATCTCAGGTTGTTGCAGTAAATTCCAAGGGGGAGGTCACTAGTAACTACTCATCTGTGAGGACTTTGGAGTCTGTCCCTGCAGGATTCTCTGCCCCTGGGGTCAACAATGTCAGCACTTATGGTGTGGCAGTGGGCTGGGCACCTCCCGTCAGCCCTAATGGAATCATCACAGAGTACAGGATCCTGTACCAGGGGAATGCTGCTGGCTCTTCTGCAATACAGCAGTCAGTCAGTGTACCAGGGAATCGAACCAACACCTCTCTCAGTGGCCTGGAGGCTTACTCCACCTATACTCTGTACATGGAAGCAGCAAATGGAGCAGGAAGTGTGCAGTCTCCCTCAGTCACCTTCACTACTAGGGAGGGCTACCCATCAGGACTGTCAGACTTTGCTGTGGAGAAAGTCAACACAGGAACATCTGTGATTCTCAGCTGGGATGCCCCTAAAAAACCCAATGGAGTTATAACCACATACAGAGTTTATCAGTCGCCATACTCTGTTGCCATTTACAGCGGCACTGCCCGTAGCTTTGAGTTTCGTCGACTATCCCCGTACACAGAATACTTGGTAAAGCTGGAAGCTTGTACAAGAGTAGGCTGTACACTCGGCAAGGAGCAGTCTTTTTACACAGCAGAAATAGCCCCGTCTTCACAGCCAAGTCCTACGTTTGGCACTGTTAATGCCACACATGTTCAGGTTACCTGGCAGCCTCCACTGAACCCAAATGGTGTCATCACAGCTTATGAAGTGCTGCGGGCAAGTCGTGCACTGAGACGAAAAAGAGATGCCAACTCAACTGTGCAGTTAAGGTCTGTGGATAACTTTCAAGTGTTACCTGAGTTGTTAATCAATGTGAGTGATGTTCACAGACTGATCCATGGTGATGCTTACAGGCCGACCTATGGTGATGCTCGCTGTATGCAGGAGAAGTTACCCAACACTAGTAAAGAACAACTTGATGTGCTCCATGTTTTTGTGGACAGTGCTGATGAAGTCATTTTTACCAGGCAGAAGCGTCAAGTATCAAATGTGTCAAATATTCAAACTGTGTACCGGACTACAGACACAGCACACAGCTCTTTTGAGTTCACAGACTCCAATTTAAAACCATACACGGAATACCAATACAGCATACGTGCATACAACTCCTTGGGCTATACTGATAGTCCCTGGCAGACGGTGCAAACAGACCAAGCAGCTCCTGATGGTGTCCTGCCACCAGTTCTTTCTCTCATGCCTAACGACATTCACAGCATTAACATATCTTGGTCAGTTCCAACTCAGATCAATGGAATCCTTCAGGGTTATCAGTTACAAAGGAACACAACAGTTCCATTTTCATTTCCATCAGATAGCAGTAACAACTTTGTTGACACTGGTCTGGTAGCCTACACAGTGTACTCTTACAGACTGACAGCTTGTACCAGTGGAGGCTGTACCACTAGTGAGCCTGCCTACATCAGAACCCTGGAGGCAGCACCTTTGTTAGTGGCTGCACCCCTTGTCACAGTCATCAACTCCACGGCTCTGAGAGTCGCCTGGACCCAGCCACAGATCAGTAATGGTCTCATCACTCAGTACAGTCTCAAAATGGATGGCAAGATCATCTTCACAGGCTTGTTGCAGGAGTTTCTGTTGACCAAACTTGTACCTTACCAGGCTCATGTGTTTACCGTCACAGCTTGCACAAATGGTGGCTGTACAGAAAGTGGGCAAGTAACTGGCCGAACAGAAGATGCCCCTCCCACTGATTTATCTCCCCCTTTGCTTCGAGTCATGAGCTCAAAATCCATAGAAATTACCTGGTCACCACCAGCCAATCCTAATGGAGTCATTTCTTCCTATGACGTCAGAAGAGGCGGGACACTGATCTACACGACCAGCATGGGTGCCGGTGGCACACTGGTGACTTCCTACATTGATTACAGCTTGGAGCCTGGCATTGAGTATTCTTACACAGTTGTTGCTAGAAACAGGTAAGAACTCCATTTTTACATCGTAAATCTAGATGTGCCTCTTCATACATTGAAAACACTGTGTGACCTGGAGTCAAGCTTGGTTAGGCATGCCTGTGCTGTCTTGAGGTCAAGACGGGAGACACTATAACCATCTTCTCTTAGGAATAATAAGGGGAGGTACCTTGGAGTGGCTGCTGCATTGGAGGATGGAGCACACTTAGGAATGCCCAATGTGCAGGGATGTCAGCTGCGAAAACATAACATTTATAAAACCACATGAGATGGCTTAGGTATAGTTGTTTTGCTTTAAGTGTTAAACTCTTAAATTTCAGTGGTAATGCTCATAAACCAGTTCTCTACAAACAGGAACAGACATATAACAGAATGATGATAAATCCATCGACTTGATGAAATCAGGACAGGATGCAAATCCTAAACATTAAAGAGAAAGGAAATGACAAAAATGAAGTCTCAGAAAGAGATAATAATATTCCTTTTTTGTTTAATCTGCAGTTTTTTTATTGGTAGACCTCCCTCTGAGCACTTGGCTGGAGCCTGTGGAGAAAATATGACCAACTCTAGGTCAGATTTCTGCCCCTGGTTGTCAGTTGAGAGCTACTTACATCTGAGCACTTGGCTGGAGCCTGTGGAGAAAACATGACCAACTCTAGGTCAGATTTCTGCCCCTGGTTGTCAGTTGAGAGCTACTTACATCTGAGCACTTGGCTGGAACCTGTGGAGAAAACATGACCAACTCTAGGTCAGATTTCTGCCCCTGGTTGTCAGTTGAGAGCTACTTACATCTGAGCACGTGGCTGGAACCTGTGGAGAAAACATGACCAACTCTAGGTCAGATTTCTGCCCCTGGTTGTCAGTTGAGAGCTACTTACATCTGAGCACTTGGCTGGAGCCTGTGGAGAAAACATGACCAACTCTAGGTCAGATTTCTGCCCCTGGTTGTCAGTTGAGAGCTACTTACATCTGAGCACTTGGCTGGAGCCTGTGGAGAAAACATGACCAACTCTAGGTCAGATTTCTGCCCCTGGTTGTCAGTTGAGAGCTACTTACATCTGAGCACTTGGCTGGAGCCTGTGGAGAAAACATGACCAACTCTAGGTCAGATTTCTGCCCCTGGTTGTCAGTTGAGCGCTACTTACATCTGAGCACTTGGCTGGAGCCTGTGGAGAAAACATGACCAACTCTAGGTCAGATTTCTGCCCCTGGTTGTCAGTTGAGAGCTACTTACATCTGAGCACTTGGCTGGAGCCTGTGGAGAAAACATGACCAACTCTAGGTCAGATTTCTGCCGCTGGTTGTCAGTTGAGAGCTACTTACATCTGAGCATGCTTCTCTATATATGTTAAAGTGCTCTTGCACATTGCTGCTTTCTGACCGGGAGAGGGGTAGGAGGGATATACTCTCATGCAGACGGCAGTTAAATGTCATGTCAGAAATGAAACCTCAGTACCGGCCTGAAGCAATTACCGGCCTGAAGCTATTACTGGCCTGAAGCAATTACCAGCCTGAAGCTATTACCAGCCTGAAGCAATTACTGGAAGCAATTACAGGCCTGAAGCAATTACCGGCCTGAAGCAATTACCGGCCTGAAGCTATTACCGGCCTGAAGCAATTACCAGCCTGAAGCAATTACCAGCCTGAAGCAATTACTGGAAGCAATTACCGGCCTGAAGCAATTACTGGAAGCAATTACCGGCCTGAAGCAATTACCAGCCTGAAGCAATTACCAGCCTGAAGCATTTACCAGCCTGAAGCAATTACCGGCCTGAACCAATTACCGGCCTGAACCAATTACCGGCCTGAAGCAATTACCGGCCTGAAGCAATTACCAGCCTGAAGCAATTACGGACCTGAAACAATTACGGACCTGAACCAATTACCTGCCTGAAACAATTACGGACCTGAAACAATACAAACAAGTCAGTATTGAAGGTTAAGCACGCCAATATGTCAGACTTCAAGTTGGACTCAGAATTCTGGAGCATTCACAAACAACAAATAAACAAACAACAAAAACATATTTGTACATCGTAAATCTGTCTTATCTACTGGTAGAATACTGAGCTGTTGGCAGAAATATTTGTATTATTTAAGAAGATGTGGGTCAACAAATTCTATTCCAGTTTTAACATTTGCAATTTTTGTCTGGGTGCAGATTTACCTCTCTGTATCATACATCATTGATATTCTAATATAATTGTTTCAGTATAATCTGTTTTTAAATTCCTACCACAAACTACTCTTGATTATATTATCAAGTGTTTTCTTTCCATCTTTTTCATTTGTTTTATTGTTTAATTCTATTATGGTCTGATACTTTTAAAAACATTTTTTTTTTAAACCTATTCTAGGTTGATATAACTTTCCATAATCTGTGATCTTAAGACAATAGTTAGACAGGGTTTATTTTACAAAGACTTATGAACATAAATTTCTGTAATCTGTGGTCTTTTTACAACAATTAGTCCTCAGGAGAAGGAGCCTTATTTTTACAACAATTAGCCCTCAAGAGAAGTCTTATTTTTACAACAATTAGCCCTCAGGAGAAGTCTTATTTTTACAACATTTAGCCCTCAAGAGAAGTCTTATTTTTACAACAATTAGCCCTCAAGAGAAGTCTTATTTTTACAACAATTAGCCCTCAAGAGAAGTCTTATTTTTACAACAATTAGCCCTCAGGAGAAGTCTTATTTTTACAACAATTAGCCCTCAGGAGAAGTCTTATTTTTACAACAATTAGCCCTCAAGAGAAGTCTTATTTTTACAACAATTAGCCCTAAAGAGAAGTCTTATTTTTACAACAATTAGCCCTCAAGAGAAGTCTTATTTTTACAACAATTAGCCCTCAAGAGAAGTCTTATTTTTACAACAATTAGCCCTCAAGAGAAGTCTTATTTTTACAACAATTAGCCCTCAGGAGAAGTCTTATTTTTACAACAATTAGCCCTCAGGAGGTCTTATTTTTACAACAATTAGCCCTCAAGAGAGGTCTTATTTTTACAACAATTAGCCCTCAAGAGAAGTCTTATTTTTACAACAATTAGCCCTCAGGAGAAGTCTTATTTTTACAACAATTAGCCCTCAGGAGAAGTCTTATTTTTACAACAATTAGCCCTCAAGAGAAGTCTTATTTTTACAACAGTTAGCCCTCAAGAGAAGTCTTATTTTTACAACAATTAGCCCTCAAGAGAAGTCTTATTTTCACAACAGTTAGTCCTCAAGAGAAGGAGCTTTATTTGGAGTTTCAGTGCCAAGATGGTGGAGTTTTCAGGAGGGAATTCTCTCAATTTTCACACAAGAAATTATTAAAAAATTGAGCGTTTATTTAACATGTACAAAACTATATATATTCTTGTAGGAAATTAAATGAACTGTGACAAACTTTAAGAATCACACTGACGTCTCATTTATTCAAATCAGCTATCGAATTAGCATATTTAAGCTTTTTTTTTTTTTTATTACTTAGGAAAAACATGATTAAATGGAACAATTTGGCTAAATTGTCAGATGAATGAAGCCTGAATTAGTCCTAACACTTGTGTACTGGAAAGCAAGGCACTTGTAGCCCCTCAAGTCATCTCTGGCACACGGGTCTATACTTTTTCCTGCCTCCTGCTATATTTCTTTGTTATGACACAACAGTCCTTTTCACCATTTTTGGGCACAGGTAAACCCCCCCCCCTCCCCCCCCCCGCTCCCCTCCCC